ACATCAAATGACCTAGGAGTCCTATTTGATCATAAGCTTTGCTTTAACAGCCATATTGTTTTAACGGTGAACAAAGCTAAGGGAGTTTTAGCGTTCATTAAGCGTTGGTCCAAAGAGCTTGACGACCCGTATATAACAAAATCACTGTACGTCTCATTGGTACGCCCGATATTGGAGTACTGTTCTTGTGTATGGAGCCCTCAATACAAAGAGCAACAATTTCAAATTGAATCTGTTCAAAAACAATTTTTAATTTTTGCCCTTAGGAATCTGAACTGGGACTCTGGCAGACGGTTGACTCCATACCGATCCAGGCTAAAACTACTCGACCTACCCTCCTTACACCATCGCAGAATTTGCAATGGCGTCTTATTCATTCACAAGCTCATTCTTGGGATTGTAGACTCCCAAACTCTGTTGGGACAGATACATTTTACAGTTCCTTCTAGACTAACCCGAACTTTCCTGCCTATCCGTTTACCCTTCTGCAGATCTAACTTCGCGCAGCACGAACCTTTCCGTTTTCTTTGCAATTATTACAATTCCTTTTACAATACAATATCTCCTGAACTATCCCTTGATACGATTTTACGTAACGTTTACCTTCACCTTAACCTAGCAAATTTTTAAAACCTTTCTTTTCTTCTCCTATTATATTTTTTCTTTAATTATGTATATTCCTATTATAGCAGATAATTGTTAATTAATTGAAATTGAAATAAATAAATAAAAAAATCTAATATTGTAGAGTTAAATATTAATATGTAAATATGTATGTAATATGTAAGAAAATTTCCTGTATATATTATTTTCACACCGTCAGAATTTGTTTGTTTTTCCCCCCTAAATGTATAACCTGATTAAACTGACATAATAGGTAGCAGTAAGCTTGTTTTTCGAATTAAATACACATTTTAATATAAAAAAAAAAGGATTGTTGCGATTTGAACAGCCTTACTGTGCTTCAATTTCTTTGGTTCCGTTCTTTTTTATACCCGTACTCAAAAAGAGTTCAGGGGTACATTAGATTTGTGGTAAAAGTGGATGTGTGAAACACAGAGAAAGAAACGTTTCCGACCCCATAAAGTATATTTATTCTTGCTCAGCATCAATAGCCGAGTTTGTTTCCCGACTTATGTGATATCACACTCTTACAAGTTTAATTAAAAATTTCGCCCCGCCCTACATTGTAGATGTAGAATATACATTGCAGATGTAGAATATACATTGTAAATGTAGAATATACATTGTAAATGTAGAATATACATTGTAAATGTAGAATATACATTGTAAATGTAGAATATACATTGTAAATGTAGAATATACATTATAGATGTAGCAAAAAAATGTAAAATGTTTTAAAATTCTGCAATTGTCTCTTCGTTTTCGTTGTTGCCACGGGCGTTTGGTGAACCACTTGCTGCGTCTAGTCAGAGTTGGTGTGTATTCCTTTACCCAAAGCTTCCAGAATTTATCGGCGAACAGTTGCGATTGATTCCAGCGCAGCCTTAGATCAGTGTTGTCTTCTGCCATTGGTTTGTAGTCATTCGGTCATCCCAGAAGCTGGTGATTTAGAGTAAGGGCATCATCGACTGCTGAATGTAGAAAGAAAAAGGTTAGTGGTCTGCAGTTAATAATGGTTTCAGCTTCCATTAGAGCGGTTCGGAGGGTCTCGTCACTAAAATTATTTGATGTGCAGATCAATTTTAGGACAGTCTTCGCAGATTTAACTAGTCGTTCCCATGCTCCTCCCATGTGGGGTGCAGCTGGTGGGTTGAAGCGCCATTTAATAGCTTCGTAGCGAATGGTGATTTAATCAAAGTCGATTTGCTTCAGTTCCTCCTTTACGACCTTTTCAGTGGCTTTGAAGTTGATCCCATTGTCGGAGAAGATTTCTTTTGGAGTTCCACGGGGGGCCATGAAGTTCTTCAGGCACATTATACAAGAGCTTACGTCAAGCTTGAAATAATCGCACCCGTATCGCAGCCAGTCTGGCAGCTGGTACAGGTGCCATTTGGGGTACCTTTGGTGTCGAATTGGCGATTTTGCATTTTTGACATTCCTTACGCACAGTTTTGTACAATACTCGTAGACGTGGTATATAAAATGTGCTTCGAATTAGGTTGATAGTTGACTCGTGGAGCATGTGGTGAAATTTTTCGTGGTAGTACTTTGCAACTAAAAAGGCGACTCTGCACTTTTTTGGCAATACGATGGCGTTTTCTTTTGGATTCAGCCGATCTGCTCTTCCTTGTACACGTAGGATGTCTTCTGCATCTAGGTAAACGTTCAGAGCAATTAATGGGCTTGACTTGTCCACAGCTGAATGGTGTTTAAGGGCGCTGATTTCCATAGAATACGCCTTTGACTGCGACTGTTTAAATAGCCACGACTTTGCTGCATGTATGATTTCAGGACTTAGGAATTTTGGCAGTGATTTTCTGGCGCATTTTGCTTTCAGCCTTTGGATGTATAGGATGAAGGTAGCTACGGCTCTATATAGACGTCTCCAGTCCGAAAAGTAATCCACTGCAAAATCAAAATGCTTTAGTTTCGTTAGTATGAAAACATGCTTACGTAATTCGGATTGGTCGTTATTTTGATCAAAAACGATATCTTGTTGTGGCCATTTATCTTCCGATTGTCTAAGGAATTGTGGGCCTTGGATCCACCTGGATGCATCGGGAGTTTTGAAGAATTTTGTAGCTGAGTCTGCAACATTTTCCTTCGTAGGAATCCAGCGCCACTGTTTACGGCAGGTGTTATCTATGATCTCACCAACTCTATGCATAACAAAGGATTGCAATTTTCGAGGGTCCATAGTTAACCATTGAAGAACGGTTTTAGAGTCGGACCAGTATGTGCTTGAATTGATTCTAAGTCCTCGAGTTTTCATGGTTCTTTTTGCTAGTCCCACTCCCATTACGGCTGCCAAAAGCTCCATGCGTGGTATTGAGACGGGTTTCAATGGTGCGACTTTAGATTTGGCTGCAACTAATACCGTGTCGATGTCCTCTCCTCTCTTTATGCGAAGGTAGGTGACTGCGGCATAGGCGTCTTCACTTGCGTCTACGAATGTATGCAAGTCGATCTGGTCTGCATCTGGCAGCAGGTATGAGTAGTAGCGATGGAATTCCAGCTCTCCAGCTTGGAGAAGTACGCTTTTCCATTGTGTCCAAAAAATAAGGAGTGTATTTGGAATCTCCGCGTCCCATGTTATACCAGCTCGCCAGAGTTTTTGGAGTAGCATCTTCAGACCAATAGTGTAGCATGATAGCAAGCCCAGTGGGTCGAATACGGACATCAATACTTGTAAGGCTTCGCGTTTTGTTGGAGCAAGCACCCCTTCAGGCCCCCCTAATTCTTTTGGGTGTTGGTTATCCAATTGTCGTTCTCCAAAGTATTGAAGTACAGGGGTCGAGTTGGAGCTCCAGTTTCTTATGGTGAATCCTCCCTTGGCATGGATGTCTCGGATTGCGGATGCAACTGCAATTGCTTCATCGTCGTCTTCGTAGCTGTCAATGAGATCGTCTACGTAGTGCGCTTTTGTAATGGACTCGTATGCTCGTGGATTTAGATTTTTGAATTCCTGTGCGTTTTTGTCGCGAACATGGTGAGCAATGCAAGGGGCGCAGCTAATTCCAAATGTCATTGAGCGCATGACGAATATTTTTGGAGTCTGATTATCCTTGTGGAACCATAAAAATCGTTGCGCATGCATGTCGCTATCTTGAATGTTAATCTGATGAAACATTTCGGCAATGTCTGCACACATCGGTTAATGGAATAAGATAGTCAAGTCCGTTTAAAATAAAATCATTAAGTGATTATCCATGGCTCTTGGCTGCTGCATCCCAGACTAGCCTTATTTTACTTGGCTTATTCGGATTTAAAGCAATAAAGATCGGTAAATACCATACGCGATCCATCTGCTTAGCTGCGTCTTTGGGCTCAAGTTCAAAAGCGTACCCTTTTGATATCAGATTATCAATTTGGACCTGTATTTTTTCGAACAGGTCTGGGTCTTTTCTGATTTTAGCTCGTAGACATTCAAGGCGCTTCATAGCGGCGGAGTAGCTTTCCGGCAGAATGGCTTCCTTATCTCGCCAAAGCAGACCAACTTGATAATGACCGTTAACCTTTTTACAAGTATCCTCGAGAATACGCATAGCCTTTTTGTCATCTTCAGAGTGGAGCTGCCGTGGTGTGCTTGGATCTACGTTAAAACTCTCCTTAACCGCTTTGTCGATTTCACTCCAATTACAGCTACAATGATGCAAGGAAATATGTCTGTTTGTATTAATTGTTCCTTGGATGCTCCATCCTAGTGTACACTTCGATGCGATGGGTGCATTTCGTCGTCCTTCACGAATTTTACGGGGTACTGCCAAAGTCCAGTTATTGGCACCAATTAGCAGCATTGGTTGTGCGTTGGAGTACGATTTTATTGGCAATCCTTGGAGGTGGGAATATTCGTTGCACAGTTTGATGACATCGACGCTTTGTTTTGGTAGCGCGAGGTTTTTGACTGAACGTACATTATTGAGCCATAGCATTTTGTGGCTTCCCGGTTCTGATACTTTAATATGAGCTCTAGCGGATGTATTCTCCATTCGAGTGGTTTCGCTGGTCCATTGCAGGCAAAGAGGATCGGGAGTCGAGGAAACCTGAAGAATTCCCATAATGCTGTCATCAATAAGTGTGACGGATGAGCCTTCGTCCAAAAAGGCGTAGGTGTCAAACTTAACTCCGTTTCCGTGTAGTGTGACGGGCAAAATTCGGAAGTATTGTTCTTCTATGCTGCTTTCCTTAAGGTGGGCACTGACGAGTTCGGCCTTGGGTGCTTCTCTAGGAAGAAGTGGGTGATGCTTAGGTTGGCAGTTATCGACGCCACAATCTCGTTTAGAGAAACATTTGCGGCGGTGGTTCTTAAGACATCTATAGCACGCCTTGGTGTCGTTGATAATGTGCTGCCTCTCCTCGAAAGTCAACATCTGAAATTACTCGCACTGGGCGGCGTGGTGCTTGGCGGACTTGCACATTATACATATGAGAAACGAAGTAGCTTGTTGTTGCTGATCTTCTTCTGGCTGAGAGTTTTCGTTGTTGTCCAATCCATGGCGAACCTGTGCGTGAGTGTTGACGGTGCTGGTCCTTGAGCTTGGTACAGGTATAACAGTGGATGCTGCTTCGGCTAACTTGTATATCCAATCGCTGAATGATTTGATGACTGGGATGCCGTCACTGCGTGGGTGCATGGCCCAATTTAATTTTTGTTGAGTGGGCAACTTATCGACGAGTTCGCGAAACAGTAAGGGGTTGTCCAGGTGTGAGTTTAATTTGCAGGCCTCCATAGTTGCACACGCGTTGCGTACTGCCATTGCAAAATCTATAAGAGATTCCAATTTGTCTTTGTGTACGTTGATTTTTCTAATTTTATCAATCTACCTTTGCTGGTTGAAGCTTGATCACTTGCTGGAGCCTTGCATGCGGAGCATGTCCATTCCAACTGCGCAATAGTGCTGCTCACACCAACACAGTCAAAGTGGTGCCAAATCTTGCATTTGTCGCATTGCACCCAGTTTTGGAATCCTTCTGAAATACGGTTCTTTTTGCAGACGCCACAGACTGTATCATCTCGTTCTATAAGCATGTTTATTGACTTGTGCACTTTAACTTGGTTCTGCTGTGTGTTCCCACGTTGCTTGTATTCGGCGCGATCTACTACAGCAAGGTTCTTACAGATACATGGCTAATGCTAACAATCCAGTCTATTTAAAAAGGTATTATTTGTTCAATTTGAAAGACTAGAAATATCTCAAATTGAATACAACTGTATATACACTACTGGTCAAAATAATAAGTACACGCTCATGAGTTTTCTTCCACGTCTCGTAAAACTTTTTTTTTTTAAAACAGAAAGAAAAAATTCACTGAACTTTAAGATTGCTAACCTACAGTAGAATATAATAAAATTTAACATACGCAATTTTCGCTTCAAATGAAGGGTTTCTGATCAATTTTATCTTAAAAACATAAACAAAGGGCGGTCAAAATAATAAGTACAGCAATTCTACAAAGTTAAAAACTCAAAGAATATCAAAATTTTTTCACTTTTTTCTTATTGACGCCGACCGACGATGACCGCGTAGGATTTGCCTTCAACACTTCAGTATATCGACACCGAAACAAGAATACCAGATCTCGTAGCGTAAATGATATGTGCGTGTGCGTGTGTGTTTTATTCTGTAGGGGTGAAATACATTGGCTTAGGTCTAACCTCAACTATTTAGTTATTACATACCGCAGTCTTTCCTCCTACTCTCTTGGTCTCGTCAATCGGAATAAACCGAAGCGGGAAACATGGCTTGACTTCTTAACTTTAATGTGACCGCAGGTCACCCAAATACCTAATCTCTTCAAAAATACTAGATGCGAATACTATCGATCGTTAGAGCTAATCCGTTCCGCGACACTTATAATTAGTAATCCTACGATATTATCTGAAATAACCACCCTTATTTTATTTAGCTTTGGCGATTATTTTTGGCATACCAGCAATAATTTTGCGCCAAGTCTCTACTGGAATCTCATACCAACTTTTTGGGACAAATTCTCACAATTCTTCGGAGTTTCGAAATATATTTGTGCCAACGCGACGTTTTAAGTCTCCCCATAGGTTTTATACTGGGTTTTAGTCAGAAGATTGACTTGGCCAGTTCAAAACGTTTACCTTGCCCTCCGTAAACCAAGCCTTGACTAGCCTTGCGGTGTTTTTAGTCGTTGTCCTGTTGAAAGACCCACCTCAAGGACATGTTTTCCTTAGCATATGGTTGCATAATGTCAGTCAATATGTTTTTATACCTGAATTTGGTCATAGGATCATTTTTAATATGTATTGGTTCAACGCCATAAGGTAACCGCTACGGTAGTTAAACATTTTTTTTGTACTGGACGTCGAAATATTTGCCTTTGGGGCACACATCTCCTGTAGTCATTACCAAAAATATTTGGTTTTGTTTAGTCGCTCTATAATATACTATTTCATTTTTCAGACCCATCTTTTTGCCTCATCTCCAAATTTTTTTCTCGGAAAAAGGAACCTTTTCGGACTATACGTTCTGATAAGTCTGAATATTGACTCCTACGAGAAACGGTCTGAGATGATATTTCATTACCAATTTGAGCGGAAATGGCTTTGTTGGACATTAACGAATAATTTTTTACAAGACTGGCGATGCGGGGGTTCGTTGCTTGTGAGGATTTCTTCTTCCTTCTTCGATTTTCAGTGAGAAATCTTAAATTTAAGGCATTCTGATCCAAATATACCGAGCGTCAAAGACTTTCGCAGTTTCCCGAAGACTTTTCCCTTATTTTTTAAGATTCAAGACAATCATCACTTCTTCAGCAGAACAATGCTTTTTCGGCCCATATAGTGAAATTTTTGTAACTCTCATGTACTTTAATATGCAAGAAGTCAATAAAAACCAACAATCCTTTGACCAAATCCCAATTAAATCCTGAAAAATTCATAAATACCTAAATGTACTTATTATTTTGACCACATTAAATATGCACAGCCAGCACAAATTTAAGCTTAGAATAAAATTAAGTGTGCTCACAAATCTCATTTTTGATTTAAACGTTTGGCAAAACCCATTACTCTTCCTAGAATTCAGACCAGTGCTCCATCTCCATCCTCATCTTCCACCTCTACTTCCACCCATACAAAAAAATAACTTCCTCTCTTGTAGTTACCTACCAGAATGCTAGAGGCTTGCGTAGTAAGCTCAGCACACTTTTCCTTGAGAGTCTCGCATTCTCGTCCCACGTTATTGTGTTTACCGAGACCTGGTTAAAGCCGGACATCCTTAGCTCCGAAGTTTTGGCAGGTCGGTACACAATTTTTAGAAATGACCGTTCGTCTCGACGTGGAGGTGGGGTCCTTATTGCAGTGGACTCAAACTTCACGTCGGAAACATTCATGGACCAGGTTCAACAAGACCTGGAATTCCTGTGCGTAAAACTGATTCTCCCAGGCTTTTCCATTTTCATTACTTGCTCGTATATTCCACCTTCCTCGGATATCTTAATATACGAGCATCACCTGTCCGCTTTAAAAACAGTTTCTTCCTCGCTATCAGATAAAGACCATATGATAGTTCTTGGTGATTTCAATTTGCCAGGTACTGTTTGGTCTTCGGTAAACGAGTCTAATACTCTTGTGCCCATGTCACGACATGACTTTATCGACGGCTTGCTGGACCTATCCCTGTCTCAAGTCAACCATGTGAAAATTTCCTTGGGTCGATTGCTTGATCTGAGCTTTGCCTCGGATCCGACCATAGCGTTGCTAACCCGAGCCCTTCCGCTCATTATACCTGAAGACTCCTACCATCCTACATTCGAAGTTTCGGTCGATATTGATCCTACTGTATAGGATCAAACGGATAGGATATCTGAACATTGCCGCTGCTTTCGTAAAGCCGAGTTTACGAAGCTTAATAACCTCATTAGTGATTTTGATTGGTCCGCTATGCACTTGTGCACTGACGTTATAAAAGGCACAAACATTTTTTACAATGTACTTGACACATTTTTTTATTCTTGTGTGCCACTTTCTTGTCCGGTTAGATCTGGGAAGCCTCCTTGGTTTACCAAAGAGTTATCCAGTCTAAAAAATGTAAAATCAAGACTATACAAAATTTCGAGAAGTTGGTTCTCCCTCTTCTCTTTCTCACTATGTAATAGCTCGGTCAAATTTCTCCGTTCTTAACGCTAAATGCTTTAAAAACTACCTATCTCGATGCAGGATACGATTTTCACAGGACCCTAAACAGTTTTACAGCTTCGTAAATAGTAAGCGTAGAACGTCCGCACATCCATCCTCGCTATCATTTCTCAATATGTCAGCAAGCAATGATCAGGCAATTGCCGATCTTTTTGCTAATTTTTTCCAAACAACCTATTCTCATGAAAGCTACTCTTATCAGCCGTAACCACACAGTTTACCAAGGTCAAACGGCATTTTCAGCCCCTTGTTAAATGAAAGCTCACTGCTTCATGATCTTCGACTAGTTAAGCCGGTGTTTTCACCAGGTCCCGACGGAGTTCCTGGCTGTGTACTTAGTTACTGTGCCGACGCTCTGTGTGGACCCTTGCTTAAACTATTCACCCTATCCATTAACTCTTCATGCTTCCCCCCCATCTGGAAGGAATCTTTTATTATTTCGCTCCCTACTATTCACACTCTTTATTAATGATCTGCCTTCAGTATTAACAAACTCTCGAGTACTCATGTATGCGGATGATGTTAAATTCTGCGTCGAGTATAAGGACATCTCATTTCACTCTCGCTTGCAATCCGATCTCAATAACTTTCAGTCATGGTGTTGTTTAAATATGTTACACCTAAATGCCTCGAAATGCAAAGTAATGACATTTCATCGCTCCAGCCCCCTTTTGGCTCCTTATAGCCTCTGCGGTGGTTCTCTTGAGAGAATTACCTTGGTTGATGATCTTGGTGTTAAACTAGACCCAAAGTTAAAATTTTCTGAACACATTTCTACCATGGTAAATAAGGCCATGGGTGTGGTTGGGTTTATAAAGAGGTGGTCAAAGGAATTTGACGACCCCTATATAGCGAAGACTCTCTACATCTCGCTTGTTCGTCCGATTTTAGAGTACGGCTCTTGTGTATGGTGCCCCCAGTACAAAGTACACCGTATAGAATCAGTCAAGAAAAACTTTTTACTTTTTGCTCTGCGTGGCCTTAACTGGGATGCAGGTGTGAGATTGCTTTTAATAAACCTTCCAACCTAAGTTAGTCGTAGAAAAATGCTTGGTGTGATTTTTATGCACAACCTGATCAAGGGTGACGTAGATAGCCCTGACTTGTTGAGCCGCATAAACTTTACGATTCCTATTAGATCTATTAGAAACTTCATTCCTTTGTTCCTTCCGCTTTTTAGATCGAATTATTCCTTGCACGAACCATTTAGGGTCCTTTGCTCGGACTTCAATTCCCTCTACCACATAATATCAACTACTAATTCCCTTCCTCTTCTTAAATCACTAGTACTAACATACCTTTCCCGTAATTAGTTATATTTCTTAGCTATCTTTGCATGTTTAGCTCTTTTAGTTGTGTTTAGCTCTAATTTTCCTCGAATTTTAGTCTAACACCTATCTTTCCTGCATGCTCGCGATCGGTTCGGTAACACGCGTCGCGCGTCATGCGGCAGCGCCCCTCGGTCGGTGGGGCGGGAGGAGGGCTGCGTTTCTGCCTGGGTTCCGCGCGTAACAGGCTTCGGCTTGGTGTCGCCACTTGATGGTGCAGTCATTGCATATCAACGTCCAGATAAAAACAACTGTAATCTTTTAGAATATAAACAATTGGCAGTCATAAATTAAAAAACATTCGAGATATTTCATAAAAACTCAGCACGATGCCTCTGTACTTATTATTTTGACCAGTAGTGTACATATGTACATTTTATACATTTATTTTAGTTCCAATAATTTTTATACCCGTACTCAAAAAAGAGTTAAGGGGTATATTAGATTTGTGGTAATGTGTGTGTAACGCAGAGAAGGAAACGTTTCCGACCCCATAAAGTATATATATTCTTGATCAGCATCAATAGCCGAGTC